GAATAGCACTCAAAAAAGTAACACATATTTCTAGATTCCATTGGACTGCTAAACTTTTTGGAATAAAACCGTTGGTACTTAATATAATTTCTATCTGTTCATATTTTTTGCTTTAACCGATATGAGTGCCTGGAGACACTTTTCGTTTATCTCACCTGGAAGTCAAAATTCCCAACCATTTCTGATCACTATTTCAAAGTTGCCGGTTTGAGGGTTAAGAATTCCCAGAGGATGATTAACTTGTGATTTAAAAAATAATAATTTAACCTAATACGGAATACACAATGAGTACCGATACGAGTAGGTATCGATACTTCAGGTCCGATATTTTTCAGGCATCGATACTTTTTTTCGATACTACTTCCAAGTAAAAGTATCGATACCTGCATGGTATCATTTCATCCCTAGCAATTTGTGCTTTTTCATAATTTTTGATATGAGAGTTCGTCCTCTTTTGTAACTCTGCGTTTATTGCTGGTGAATAATAATTACTCGAAAAGTAAACAACCAAAATTACTTGCCGGCTAGTACGACATTGGTACATACATATTTAGTTGCGCCATTTAATTATTGGATTCATAAACGTTTTACGCTTTAAAACATGTTTAAAAAATGGGACGGTTATCAGTTATTTTTTTTACGACATTTACTAGATTATTGTCACAATAACGTAACAGCATCGTCACTGAAATGCAAAAAGTCGTAACTTATAAAAAATTCAAAATTCACTTTTTGATTGCTATGATGGATTTCATTGAATTACAACTCCCCACATCGTTTTATGAAAAAATAAATAAAAATAGTCTCGACTTTTTCCATTTCATTGACGATGTTGTTATGTTATTTTGCATTTCAGGTGACGAGACGTATGTATGTATGTACAAATATATCAACCACTTGACTAAATTAGAATTTACGTATCAAGTACCTATGTACTAGGGATGTTTCGAATGTCATATTTTTCACATTCGCGAATGCGAATGCGAATGTTGGGAATAACATTAAAAAAGCTATAATCAACTTAAGTCATCGTTTTTATTACTTAAAAATTTTGTTAATTACACTGGATCACAAATTTTAGTTTGGATACGTTTAGTATGGATACGTTTTCGAGATATTTGCAATTTACCGTTATTCAGCTTAAAGCAAAAATTGGTTCCCTTTAATCACGTATATCTTACGACCCAATTTAAAAATCTTAATATAAAATACGGCAAATGAAAGCTTATGAAATTCTCCATATATACATATATATTTCCGATAGGACTGATAGTTTCTGATAAAGTTACTCGTACGCCGCGCATACCCGAGTAACACGCTTTTCTGCTCATATTTCATACAAAAAATCTTTGCGCACTTTCATTGGACCTCTCAATATTTCGTATTTATCCATCGAGTTTTTTCATCAGTAACTTTATTTTTTTTTTTTTAACAGAACATGCTTTAGTACAAATGCAAAAATTAGGCACAGAACCTGTTATTATTTTAATTTTTCCTCTGTTAAAGTTAGATTTTTATTTTCATTTTTTCATTAAAAAATTAAAAAAGCTGGAATATTTAATTAAAGTGTCAATAGGGCTTATTGGAAAGTGATGTATACCCGGTTTATTAGCTTTAATCTGCCGCATTTTATATTAAGATTTTTAAATTTGTTCGTAAGATATACGTGATTAAATAGAACCAATTTCTGCTTTAAGCTGAATAACGGTAAATTGAAAATATCTCGCAAACGTATCCATTGAAAAAAAAAATTAATCGTAAGATAATCGTATTTTTTCGTAATTTTTAAGATTTGACACTTTGGTACATTTTGTTGATACATTTTGAAAACTATGAATAATATTACTAGTTTACCGGCAAACAATTTTTTCTTGCTATATAAAGTTTTAAAATTATATATGCAGATATTTATAAGTAAGAGTTACCAATCTTATAAGGGAAATACAACTAGGAATTTCTTCGCACACGCTACTGTTATAGGGTTCCTAAACTACACTAAAACATTGCGCGATATATAAGATTTGCTTAGATATTTTAAATTACAAGTATTACCAAAAGGAAACAATCAAGTAAAAACATACAAGAAAAACAAGAAAAGTACTTACGAATTAACATTATCTGACTTAGCGCTAATATACCTGCGAAGTTCGAATCTAAAGGTGTTCATGCTACTTATAGATATTAAATTTTGGGGAAGAGAATTCCAGAGTCGAGTCACCTGCACCAAGAACTGCCTTTCTGACGCCAGTGTTTTGTATCTAGCAGCGAGTAGTTTAGAGTTTCTCACGGATTTCGTGGCAGTTATTCTAAGGGCGAGATACCCTGGTACTTTCGAGTAGTAAATTTTATGCAAAAGTAAGAGGGATCTGAACTGAGATACCCTAGTACTTTCGAGTAGTAAATTTTATGCAAATGTAAGAGGGATCTGATTTGAAGGAGCTTATCCAGGGACATGGCATAGATTGACTCAGCAAGATGGGAAATGTGATCTCTTGCCTTTATTCCGAAGGCGTAACGAGTAATATTGTTAAACAGCACATTAAGCGTGTGTTTGCACGCATAATCACAATTAGCGAAAATTTCACAACCATACAATAAAGAGAACATAAGATATGTCTTAACGATTAAAATACGAATTCGTTGAGGGATGAAGTGTTGCGTAGACCAGAGCTCTCCAAGCATTCCGTATAGTTCTCCTACGACTACATTTATGTGACTATCCCAAGTTAATGTTTTGTTGAAGATAATTCCTAGATTTTTGGCCGTCTGTACATAATTTATACACATGCGACCAAGCATGATTTTTGGAAGAGTCGAAGTATCAAGGGGCTTTCTAGAGATGACAAGCACTTGTGACTTCTTAGGGTTAAGAGTTAGTGCATTGATGCCCATTTGATAATGCGGCATAAATTATGGTTGATTTAAACAATACAGTCGTATATATCATTGAGCTTGCAAGAACGATAAACCTAAACATCATCAGCATACAGGTGAGAGCTCATATCGGTAACGATAGCCGGTAGATCATTAATATATAAAGAAGAAAGAAGGGGACCAAGAATGGATCCTTGCAGAACACCCTCGCCTAGTATTAATTGAGATGATGTCAACGGCCCACTACAGACCACTTGTGATCTATTTCCTAAGTAAGAGGCAATTAACTTTAAAGAAGTAGGGGAAAGTCCAAAAAACTGTGGTTAAGGGAATCGAATGCCTTTGAGTGGTTAAGTAGGGTAAGGAATGTGACTTTTTCCTCGTCGATGGATTCGCGAATATCTTCAATAACGTCAGTCAGCTCAGGTATACAGTTATGTCCTTTTCGGAACCCGGATTGCCGTTTATGTATAAGGGAGTGCTTAGAAAGAAACGCGTTTAACTGCTTATGCAAAACTAACTCAATTACCTACGAAATATAGGGTTAAATTGCGATTGGTCTGCGTTCACCGTCGGCTTTAGGAATCGGCAAGATTTTAGCGGTTTTCTAACATTTTGGGAAAACGGATGTGGTTAGTATTGTGTTAAAACAGTGAGTAATATACGGAAGTAGAACGGGTAAAATAGCTTTTAGAAAAACAGGGTGTATACCATCTGTCCCAACAGCATTAGACTTAATTGAGAGGAAACATTCAAGGACGTCGGACTGATCTACACACGAAAAACTAAAACTTATAACATTTGGTAGAGAACAAGGTAGATTAATTTTAGTGTTTGTGACTCGGGGTGCCGAAATTTTTACAAATTTTTTATTTAAAGAATCAAGATCTTCCGAAGCTTGAAAACTGTTCACTTTACTCTTAACAAGACCGATAGTTTTGAAATTTTGCCAGGTTTGTTTGCTACCGATTGCCTTTGCAAAATTATTTTCAAAATACTTGGCTTTGGCACTTCTAACCATTTTAACAACCGCCTTCTTTAAAACTGTAAACTGTTTGTAAAAATCCATCGTTCTATATCTTTTCCAAGGATCATACATTTTATTCCGATTCTCGATAGCTTTTTTAATTTCCGAATTAAACCAAATGTTTTCAAAGACTCGCCTAATCTTTGTCTTGATGGGAACATGCTTGTTAACTACTTTTAAAAAAATTCTGCTGTAAATATTGCATTTGGTCATCAGTAGATGTCAATTTCTTTACACCGTGCCAATCAATTTTATTTACGTCACTGTTAAGTTTAACATAGTGTAAGCAACTGATGGCAACCCGGTAGAAATGCGACTCTGTGGCAAGTGGCAATAACGATTAGTAGCCGCGAAACGAGCTTCAGACCGAGTAGTCGTAAAGTTCCACCACTGGTGAAATATATCTTTTTCTATGACTTTTAAATACTTTATATCTATCAATATATTACAGTTGAGTGTTATTAAATAATTAAATAAACTTGAATATAACACTAAGAGCCATCCTTTCAGACCAGAAGTGAGATTGTGTCCATAATTAAGCCTTCAAAGTGTGTTGAAATACGTGTAAAGCGCAAGCGTAAGCGCATATAGATACATACGTATATACGAATACGAACGAAGTGGTGGCTGACGAAGCAAAAACAATAGCGTCTATTGTACGCAACGAGTCGAAGACGTTAAGTTTGAATAAGTTTGTGGTATTTATTTGGACGCGAATGCATATATACATGTATGCACACGTTCATAGATAAGTGCGTGAACGCGAAAACGTACAAGAACGACGAACGACGAAGCGAATACGTTGGTTTGAATAAATTTGTGTATACGGATTATACATATTTATTTGGACACGAATGCATACAAACAAACGTGTATGCATACACACATACATGAGTACGTGAACGCGAAAACGTACAGCGAGGCAAAACGAAATAAGAACGACGAAGCGAATACGTTGGTTTGAATAAATTTGTGTATACGGCATATATGTACATATTTATTTGGGCACGAATGCATACATACATACATGAGTACGTGAACGAGAAAAACGTACAACGAAGCAAACGACAATAACAGAAGCGAGTGTGGAAAATAAAAAGTAAACAAAAACACAGCCGTAACGAGTGAAGTGCGCAGCCGCGACAGTCAGAAGTCGAAACGAAATGAAATAGGACTAGAAATCGTGAAAGTACGCAAAGTAAATAAAAACGCAAACGCAAATGCAAAGTAAAATGCCGAAAATAGCCACACTGAGGGTTGAACAACTAAAAGCGTTGCTACGCGAGCGAGACAAAGCAACGGCCGGTACGAAAGCGGAATTAAATCAAAGATTGTGTGAAACGGTTGGCAGTGACGAAATTGTGGTAGAAAATGAGAACGAGACGATGCAAGCACAAATAAATGAATTACGCGAAATGATGCAAGGCATTGAATTAGAGTTGTCAAACTATCGATGGCACTATCGATAGTATCGATAGTTTCAATTTTTTTAGACTATCAATACTCATTGATAGTTTTTTCTTATACTATCAAAAATATCGATAGTTTAGTAGGACTATCGATCATCTCTACCAATTATTTTGAAATTATTTGAATTCTTTAATTTGAATCAAAATCTTTGTTTTTTAGTGTGATGCCGACGTCATATTCAAAAATGGGCGCCTTTAAGCCAAAAAACATACATATGTTAATCGTAAATCCTGTTTTGTTTGTATAACTTGTGTTTGTTTTTGAACTTTCTAAAAAGAGAAGTATTTTGGCTAAGCATTTACTTAATTTTGAATGATTATAACTTTTATAAGATAATATTTATTTCACTATGATCCTGTAAAAACAAAGCAACCGAACTGATTTAGCGCTATCGATAGTGCTATCGATAGTTTTGTTTTTTTTCGAGATTATCGTGAATATTGATAGTTTTTCTGAAAACTATCAAAACTATCGATGGTGTGACTATCGATAGTTTGACACCTCTACATTGCATCATTGCTACAAGAACGAAGTAATAACAATTTGCAACAACAAACATGTAGTGACAAAGTGCAACAACAAACACCACAACAATCTATCGCGAGTGCCGAAAATGAAAGAGTAGTTTCTCCGAGACAAAATTTAGATTTTTATAGTGCGCGGTGTTCGGTCAAAGAAATCGCAGAAAAGTTGCCGACATTTGATCCGACTAATGAGCTTTCGTTGTGCGTTGAAAAATTTATTGAACGTGTTGAACAAGCCCGAAGTGCATACCAGTGGGAAGAAAGAAGTTTAATGCTGACAGTTTTAGCCGCATGAACGGTGTCGCGAAGCTATGGCTAGATGCGTCGCAGCAGTGCTATTCCAATTTGAATATTTTTGCAAAGCAGTTGACTGAAGAATTCGGTACAAAGCAAAACGAAGCAGATGTGCATTACAAAATGAATAGTTCGGTTCGTAAAACAAATGAAAATGTAGTTGATTATTGTTTTCGCATGAACGCTATTGGTCAGCGCGTTTATCACAACAGAAGGTTTGTACCAGTTCAAACGAATGCCGTTTGGACTAAAGAACGCTCCTGTCGTCTTCCAGCGTCTAATGGCAAAGGTAAAGAGCGAACACAAAAGGGTGACATGATAAATTACATGGATGATATCTTGGTGGGAAGTCTGACTATTGACGAAATGCTCGTAAAGTTGCGACGAGTATTTGACGCTTTACGTGAGTTAAATTTGACATTAAATTTAAAAAAATGCTAATTTGCGAAACAGACTATTGAATTTCTGGGTCATTCGCTAACGCCAGCGGGCATTAGCCCAGGCTCAGCAAAAACGACGGCTATTATAAATTTTGTGAAGCCTAAAACTGAAATCAGCAATTTTTGTGGAAGCACGAGCAAGAAAACGCTTCTGATGAGTTGAAGCTAGCATTGTCGACTAAGCCGGTAATGACGTCTTATAGAATCGAAGCCAAACACGAAATTCACACCGATGCGAGTTCCATCGGGCTAGGCGGAGTACTGCTACAGCTAGATGACGACGGTTGGAAACCGGTGGTGTATTTTAGTAGATCCACGAGCGATAATGAGAAGAAGTTTCATAGTTACGAGTTGGAGACTCTAGCGGTGGTCGAAACACTCGAACGTTTTAAATATTATTTATATGGCAAGGAGGTAACTGTGGTAACCGATTGCAACGCGATTAAAACGGCGATGGCAAAAAGAGAGCTCATACCACGCATTGCGCGTTGGTGGCTCAAGGTACAAGAGTATGACATACAGATCGAGCATCGTTCTGGTAAACGCATGGAGCATGTGGATGCTCTGAATCGAGCACCAGTAGAAGCATCACGCGACGTAAATGAAGCTTCTCTGTGTGTAATGAAAACGGGTTTGGACGAGACAGACTGGTTATTCAGTATGGAGTTACAAGACGCTGACTTAAAACGAATTGTTGACCAACTGCAGGTGAAAGGCACTAAGCTGAGCGATGAGTACGTAGTAGACAACGGACGACTCTTCCGTAAAAGCGAAAATGCGAGGTTATGGGTAGAACCAAAAGCGCTACGTTGGAAGGTGTTACACGACTGGCATGACAACGCGGGGCACTTAGGTGTCGACAAAACGATGCAGCGACTGACAAGCTATTTGTGGTTCCCAAGAATGCATAATTACACCAAGTCGTACATAAAATCGAGTGTTGAATGCGCGTATAATAAAGACTGTGGAGGCCGGAAAGAGGGCGAATATCATTTTGATGACATCGAACCAATACCATTCAAAACCGTTCATTTGGATTCCTGGTACTCGTTGATGCTTTCACGAAGTTCACCATTATCCGAGCAGTGAAGAGTACCAAGACCAAGCCGGTTTTAGAAATTTTGAATGAAGTTAGCAGCTACGTTGGTATGCCTGAGTGGCCCGTTACAGATCGCGGGACCGCATTCACGTCCAGAGAATTTACAAACTATTGTAGGAACAACGATATCAAACATATTAAAAATGCAGTCCGGACTCCTAGGGCAAACGGACATGCCGAACGAACAAATAGAACACTCTTATCAATGCTATTACCAACAACAACAACCGATAAACGCTGGGACGAGAAGTTACGCGAAATACAGTGGACAATCAATTCAATGCGAAACAAGACAACCAAACGAACGCCGCAGGAATTGTTGCTAGGTTTTTCGCCGCGCGATATCTTGCATAACAAAATACTCCTACCTCTGCAAAATGATGTAAACGATATAACTAAAGATGATGTGCACGAAATGCGACGGAATGCAGCTACACATATCCGCGAGACGCGCCAACGAGCAAAACTACGATATGACAGCAAACACGTCAAACCAACAGTGTACCAGTACCGGGTACTCACGTAAACTGGAGCCTCATTATAAGGGCCCATTCATAGTTACACGCTCATTGAAAAATGACCGTTACGTAATAGAGGACCTACCAGGTTCTCACCGTACGCAGCGCCATTATTCCTCAGTATATTCATCCGATAAACTGAAACCGTGGTATGCATTACCACCCTGCGAAGAGAATGAAACAGATGAGGAGGAGGTCGAGCGAAATCCCTCAAATTGGACGGGGTCGCCCAAGTGGTCAGGAACGGCCGAACTGTAAGCAACTGATGGCAACCCGGTAGAAATGCGACTCTGTGGCAAGTGGCAATAACGATTAGTAGTCGCGAAACGAGTTTCAGACCGAGTAGTCGTAAAGTGCCACCACTCGTGAAATATATCTTTTTCTATGACTTTTAAATACTTTATATATATCAATATATTACAGTTGAGTATTATTAAATAATTAAATAAACTTGAATATAACACTAAGAGCCATCCTTTCAATAGTCTATGTTATTAAAATCTCTAAAGCTAAAGTGTTGTTTTTCTTCAGTAGTAGTCACACAGAGGTCGAACGTCAGGAAAATTAAGTCATGTCGGGAGAAGGAGGGCATGGATAATTGGTCATATAGCAAAATTCGTCTTAAGTTACTTGTGTAAAAGAGATCAATGAGAGATTCGCTACTATTTGTGAAATGAGTCGGAGTTATTATATTCACTGGCAAAAGACCAAAGGTGTTCATAACGTCATAGACGAGTATTCATAGTCCAGCAAATAAGTCGAAACTAACAAAGTTGCAACTTAAATTTAAGTACCAACTTAAAATTTACTTCTATTCATAGTCGCATTTCAGACTTCTACTAAGTAGTTTCGACTTAGTTTACGATATAGCAAAACGAGTGTGAAAATGTATCGATTTTTCTTTACGATATTTTGGAAAAATTACATTTTTATTAAATAATGTCAAGTTTGATCATCCGTTTATGTAATTTTTATTAAGGTATGAAACCGATTCAAAATAACGTTCCGGTTTGGGTTTCGGTTTTGCCAAGTGTTTCGGTTTCGGTTTTGGTTTCGTTCTTCAAAATTTATTTCGGTTTTGGTTTCGGTTTCGTTCCGGTTTCGGTTTTCTCAGAAATTTTGTTGATATTATTTAAATCACAATGTCTTAAACGTTGAGGAAAGAAAATCGAAAATTACAGTTCACTGATAATATCAACACTAAGTTCTTTTTCCTAACAATCCGGACCGGATTTGGTAATTAGAGAATAAGAGAAACATTTTCTTTCAAAAATGGAACAAAGTTCAGAAGTACGGAAACGCAAAAACCCACATTTCGTGCCCACAAGTCGAGAAACAGCTGATTCACGTTGTTCTTGTTTTTTGTCACTTATACCTTGTTCTGACCGACATCGGAAACATGTTTTCGTTGCTAAAACTGGTTTTCGACCTAAAACTTGGTTTTCGTCCATATAAAATCTGTTAAACGAAAACCAGTTTTCGCTGAAAACTACTTGAAAACTCACTTTCCTCTCATTCCAATCGGTGTCTTCACTAGTTTTTTTCGATTATTTATCGAAGTGTAAGTCATATTTTATTATCTTTAATACGCCATTTCGGATTTATTGTTAATTGCCTGGCCAAAGCAAAATAATAATGAAAGTTAAAGGTTGTAAATGAAAAGAAAATGAAGGAAAAATGTTTTGGTTGTCGGCCAGAACATGGTATTAAATGCAAACACTTGAAAATTGAATTTTGGTTTCACAAATTTGATATTAAGTACATAGATTGAAAATACATCAACAGGCCATTCACTTTTCCTTAAAAGCACCAAGTAAATGCAGGCAACATGTAAACACAATACAGCTCATATGCACTTTGACACTTTATCCATTTTTACTCGGAGAAAATTTCGGGCTATTTACGATCGAATACGCTCGAATTTTCGCTCTCTATTACCCATTTTGTTGAGTACAGGCATGATTTCTGGGCTATTTTGGGCACACGCGGGATCTCACATTGCGTACGGGAAAGAAACTACTTAAATATAATTAATCGATTATCGACTCACAACAACAAAGTCATCAGCAGATTTTTGCGAAAAGTTACCTTGCCATACTTATTTACTACTTAACAAGAATTTTAGCAAAATGTTGCTGATTTTGGTTAAATAAATCATTTATTTCAAAGAAATTTTTATTTATTATTTTTGTAAATTTCTGGAAACCGATTGAAACCTGTGATTGAAATGGTTTCGGTTTTGAAAAACGAAACGGTTTTAAACGGTTACGGTTTCGGTTTGGGTTTCGGTTTCATTCCTTGATTTTTATTTTCATTGCATGATTATGCAAAAGAATAAAGTATCATTTTCTTGTTAATTGTGTGAAATAGCCAGAACAACCGCAGTGATGTGAAGTCGATGTTTATCGAAAGCATGCTGTGAAACATACAAATAGTAGATATCTAAATGTTATGCACAAATTTACTTTAAAAGAACTAGCGTGGGAGATTATTCAATATTATCAAAATCACCCTCTACCAACTTAATTTTTACATATTTCGTCTGTTTGCCCTTAATTTGATAAAATACTTCTTCCTAGTTACGACTTAGTTGCAGCTGCAGCCGAAACTAAATTTTAAGTTGGTACTTAGCCAGAAAAGTCGAAACTAAGGCGACTATGAATAGCTTTAGTTGTGACTTAGAATAGTTTCGACTTAGTTGAGTACTAAATATGACTATGAATATGCGTCATAGTGTTCGACCAGCAAATTGCAGTTGAAGTAACCGGCAACAATAATATCTTCATAAGATAGCGATAATTTCTCAATGGCATTTGCCAGCGGGGCACAGTCAACATTTTTATTTGGACGATACACAGTGCCAACAAGAACTTTATGATTATTACAGACAATTTCGACAAACAGATATTCAACACAAACATCCACACTAGATTTGGATTTCACA